GGATATAAGATTTCTCTTCAAATTTGCAACATGTCTCACTATATCAAGTGTTCTGACCATCCTATCCAACATCTTAAGTTCGAACATTTCAATACCAGCTACCTTACAGGGTGCATTGTTGTATATAACTGCTACACCTCTTGAAACTTCTTCATATATTGAAAATAAATCCTGATTGGGTCACATATAAAACTGCAACTTGTACGAAGAATCCAATCCTCATCAGACTTGAAATTGTTGTCCGAAATAACCAAAAATTCTCTACCACTCAAACAGTTCTCTATAAACATCAGCTTTACTTGAAGTTTATGATTGCATTCTCTTCTGATTTGCAGCCAGTTTTTCTTTAATCTACAAATTGTAGCAATCTTTATTTTTTGTGCCTCTTCTTCTTATAATAGTTACAATTTTGATTCTAAAGTTAGACTTCGATTTGTCGCTTTCATAACCACCATGAACAACAAGGCCTCCTCCTTGAGCCTTAAATGTAAAAGATGCTTCATCTTCTTTTTTGAAAATAAAGCATCATATGCTTCTTTAATGGTGAGAGTATTGCGACTATGTAATATCGTATACCTAAACGACATATAAGAACCGGGCAATGAACACAATAAAATCAAATCCAAATCCTTGTTATCATATTTAACCTTCAAAGTTTTCAAATCAATGACAATTTCTTCTAAGATAGCAAGGTGACTTTCTAGAGATGTAGCTATTGTCATACAGTGAGAATACAAATGATACTTTAGGTGCAATTTGCTAGTTAGGCTCTAAGTGATGCGCAATTGTGCCAACTTTAACCATAATGCAGTTGCAATTTTTTCTTGAAAACGTCCTAAAAAATATGATTCAAAAGATGAAGATGAATTTGTGGACCTTTAGATCCTTACGTTGTTTCTTCTCCATCGACTAATTTGAGGGCATCTTGTTAAATCCAAACAAAGCTTCATTCAAATCCATCTAAGCAAGCACTACTTGCATCTTCACCTACCACAATAAAAATTTAGTGTTGCGATCCAAAAGCGAAATACCGTACTTCATAGTTGTCATAACAAGAACAAAACCTTGAACAAAGCAAACTTTAAGATCTCATACCACTTGTTGACAACTCTAACCAAGTAGTTATGAGCGCTAGCACCATTGTTAGAAAATAACAAGATTATATGGCATAATATGGAGTAGTGATCACAATATAAAAACACAACAAATTTGGCAAATGAATGGAGAAATCAATATAATATGGGGAAAGAATATAAAGATATTATGTTTATAATTTTGTCTAACTCATTCAAATTATAAACAAGAACCAACTATATATAGGGGTACATATCATACCTTAACAAGAATCCTAATAGAAATAACGCGTCAAAATGCGAAACGAATTACGAGCTAGAATAGCGTAGTGCTCGAGAGTCAGGCTCACGGTAAGCAAGCACTAGGCTCCTCAATCGACGAGTGGGCCGATAGCAACTCTATGTTGAAAATTTCATCTTGCCGCTCAAGCGATAAGCTAGCAGTAACGCGGCAAGCTAGCAGTAACGCGGCATATTTTCCTCCTTGGAATGTATTTTGACCTTTTGAAAGTCCAATTCAACAAATCCACAAATACCCAATGAAATTTGTGTCAAACTCTAACAATATAAAAGTTGTCTACTTGCATATGGATCAATAATAAACATCACTATATAACATTACTGATAGGATTAAAATAAACCTATATTGAAATATAACTTGTCAACATCTCAAAAAGGTATCTATAACATTTCGTCTAGGATTGTCTAGTTTTGTCCTTTTCTTTTTACAATTCGTGGATGATCAAAAACTTACTGTAAATATATAAAATGTCATACAAATTTGAAAGATATTGTAGTCACAGTACTCAATTTTTATAATTATTTCGGGATTTCAATATAGATTATCGACCTTCAAATTTTCAAAACAAAGATGTAGGTTTCTTCGCTTAACTATTGGTTGCGCCTTTAAGAGCTAATGCGCCATGATTACTAAGGAAGCTGTTTTACATTTTTTCAAGTGAAAATCTATAAGGTACAATACTATTTCTAAGTTATAATTTAAAGTATTGATTTCTATTGAGTGTAGTTTAATAGAAACACTGCACATTATTTAGGTAATCACCACGGGTCGCTTAAATAAATTAAATCTTATTTGTTTCTGAAATCGAGTTTCGAAATTAATAATTATTGGGCCATTTCAACATTCAACTCTTTCTGTTGGTACAAAAATCAACTAGTTGTCTATCAAAAGAATTGAGATTTCATTTGTTCGAGTTTTACTACAACCAAATTAACTGCAAACAGCGTCACCCAAAATTTCTCATATTAATTTTAAGATTTCAAAAGTTAATTTCATTAATTGTCATTAAAACATGTACAAAATTTTAAGTTAGTCACTAAAGATTTTTCCGGGACTTTTGGTTACTAAAATTTATAATGGTCATCAATAGTCATTCTATTATAAAACGAATTATTCCATGCGTATAGGGTATTTATCACAAGAACAATGCTATAAACATAGATTTTTTCTGCAAAATTTATACAGAAAAATAGTTGTTTTCATGTAATTGGCTATTGCCAAAAACAGTTTTTGGCAACAACAAATCACAGAAAGACAGCTATCTTTTTGTACCAATTTTGTAAAAAAAATATGTACTTGCAGATTAATTGTTCTCACGAGCAACCTACAATTGCTATGTTGGCAGCACTTGATTGATGCCTTTTTTTGTGATTTTTGAAAAAAATCAATGATAATGCACCAAGTGGAATCCTATAACAATTCTGTGAAAATTATTCTGTACGTGTAGCATAATTGATTATAAAACGTATATAGTATTACTTGGATTAGCTAAGTTCCAAGTCTGTCTCCCTACATGTATCATTTGAATTTCATATTTTTCGTCGACACACATTTGTCAGCAATAATAGTGCACATTATTATTTATTCTTTGAATGAAGGAATTGGTGAAAACATATTTTTGAAATATTCTAAGCGGCCAAATGTCAAAAGTGTTTCTGATTTTTAATTCTATTTATTGAGTTGGATGCCTGGATTATTAACAACTTGAGATAAAATAGAATGACACGAATATATATATTGACAATCCCCCATATGCATCATAGGCCGGCCAAGTAACCTTTAAAACTCTGCACGCACAAAGAATACATTTCATCTTTCAAAATCAAACTCGGTATGACGATTGATTCTCAAATATAATATGGCAGTTGGATTCTAATGAAGTTTAATTTAAGTGAAAAAGTGTAGAATTTGACCACACAATTTTTTTTTCTTGCTAATTGTATATATAAAATGAAAGAAATTGAATGCAACCGATTGGCCACGAAGAATATCTTCAATTCATTAAATGAATTGTCATTTGGATGACTGAAAATTAATAATTTTTTCAATCTATATAGCATTAATGTCTAATCTCTAATGAATAGACGACTGAATTCAAATTCCATCTCCAATTGGTTGTGTTTATAACTCAATTTTCATCTCCAATGCACATTTAATAGGAGAATGAGAAAATAATAAACAATAGAAAAAAAATAATGTTGTTTATTCCTATTGGAGTTATAATCTCAGTTTATGTGGTGATAAGTGATTGGCTAAATAAATGGTGAAATTACATCTAATAATAATAATAATAATAATAATAATAATAATAATAATAATAAAACATGAGAGAATTTAATTTCCCTGACTCTACATTTACACGGATCTCTTCACAATGTCTGAATCAATTAGATAGAGTCCCAATTAAGATTCAATGTTGATGAATTTTGTAAAACAATCTATTTCATTTATCTAACTTTTTTATGCAATCCACATTAGAAAAACAGTAAAGTTATTCTGACAGGGATAGCCGACAGATTTTGAAAATTTTTAATTTTTCTAATTACCCAATCAGTAAATGACACGAATCTGCCTGAATTTAAACCCTGTCCCAAACCTTGTTTTTGAAGCATTTCTCTTAGAAAAAGTGGTTGACATTTCTGATGCCATACTCGAAAAAGAATCACAGTGCCAAAGGAGGACTAGGGCAAGATTAAGGATGACCAAATATCCCGATCTTACCTGTTTTACATTGCCTCTGCTAGAACGGGGCAGAGAATGGATACATGGTCCCCATCCCAACTTTACTTTTTAAAGTTTATTCAAGTTTGAAAAATAAATAAGTATTTTTTTTTTTAAATAAGGAAATCGGATATTTCGAATTTTAATTCTTCCCCATTCTGAAAAATCTTAGACGCGACGGAGCACGGAGAGGCTGCCCGACTCGTTACCATCCCTAACCATGATAAGTACAAGTTGATCTAATAACTGATTTCCAATTAAATTCCATAAAGAAACCAAAAAATATCAAATTATGAATATTAGAATAGTTTGAGCCAGAGACGGGCAAAACTCACAAGACCACAAAGGCAAAAAGCCATTTGCTAAGGTTCAAAGAAATGGATCATTCACAATGGAAGAAAATTTAATATTGGAATATCTAAAGCCATTAATTGTGGTATAAAACGCAATTTCCTATATCGTTAATTAATTTTTTTATTATTATTACTTAATTCTCTCTTGAGGATGATTGAAAATGTCATTTATATAATGTTAAGAAGAAGAGACGACTTTCATATATCAAAAGAAGTATATGGCTTAATGATAAGATATGTGGTTCGTGTTGGGTTGCAGTAGGGATGCTAAGTGATATGTGCAATGTGCCAGAGTCGAGTAGTGAAAACCTCGTGCAAGACCAGTTGGCTCGTGAGCCACTCGTAATTGGGGAGTTAAATATAGTTTTTACTAAAAAAAATTGGTGAGCCACGAGTCGATGGGACAAGTCAAGCCTACATTTGGTGTAGCGAGTCGAATTGCTCTACTCGGTCCATTTAATGCCCCTTGGTCACAGAGACGAATCTGGAATGAGTTGTCGAATTTGTAAGATATAACATATGCTAAAAAATCTTTACATTCTTCCCATCAAATCCATAGTAGAATATGAACTTTACAACTTACAAGAACCCTAGCTATAACTCCCACAAGTGCAAATACAATTCAATTTCAAGAAAACTCAATCTAAATCCTCTTTGTTCTTGTTGAGAATTTTTCCGTTCCCAATTCTTCAAAATCCGTTTCATCATCCTCATCATCATATGCTTCATCTTCATCTTCGTCATCATATCCATCGACTGCACTTTTCACTATTCCGATTTCCTTCTTCCTGCTGCCAGCTGGCAGGCCGGTACCCTTCAACCAATCCACGAGCTCTAACATGCTCGGCCTGTTCTCCGGATTACTATCGGTACATTTCATAGCAATCATAATCACTTCTTTCAGCTGTTCTCTATCAAAACTGCCTTTTAACCTAGGGTCTGCAATGTGATCAAAGGCGCCCTTCTGCACATATGGAGTAGCCCATTGGACTATATCCCGTTTAACACCACCAGGGAGTTTTTCGAGTGGTTTTCGGGCACTGATTATCTCTAGAAGAAGGATTCCAAAGCTATAAACATCACAACTTTCTGAAACTTTACCCCACATTGCATATTCTGGTGCTAAATACCCTAGGGTTCCTTTAACTCTTGTCGTCAAATGAGTTACTCCTTCTGGTAAAAGTTTTGCGAACCCAAAATCAGCTACCTTGGGCTGGAATTCTGAATCTAAAAGGACATTGCTGGCCTTTATGTCTCTGTGTATTATGTGAGGATTTGCTTCATGGTGCAAGTAACTTCAATTTACAAACAAAGAAAATATTCTTATCATATAAGCAAATAGTTGGACATTAAAATATATTTTTATGCAAGAAATAATTTGCATTTTAATTCGTTCTATCGATTAAAATGTTTCTAATACATAATAACTTAAAACTTTTAGATGAGATGGTACAAGGGTTTGAAGAAATTAAGACAAAGTAGATCTCATCTGAATTTCATTGATGAATTTTTTAGACTCATTACAAAAGTTTCTATTGCAGCAAACTTCTACATATTTGTTTTTCTCTCGTCTCTCACTATACTCTCTTTTATGTCAACTTCATAATATAGGGAATATAAATAGAAACTGAGAATTCTACATGTATTATGCAAATTACGAAGTATTTTAGTATATTTAAACCTGAGATTTCTTGTTTTTCAAAGACATTTTCCAGTGGTGCTATAAATTTTCTACTCAGTTCCACATTTCTTAAGATCTCAAATCACTATTTAACAGTTTCATATAGAATCAGATTGGCACCCCAAAGTCTGCGAATCAAGTTCGGCTACTTTATTTATGAAATCTATGGGTGTCAGATAAATGAAAAATTAATGAATCTAAACATCATCGTTGGGTGTGTTGGAGACATTTTAAATAAACAAACTTGTCCGATCTGACACGATTTATCTTTTAGACAATATAGTCCAACATATTATCTTAGTTTTTCCGTGAAAATTGAAGGGAAAATGGGAGGAAAACCAAATACTTACGCGATTCCTTCTGCTGCTCCAATGGCTATATTGATTCTTCTTGACCAATCCAATAAGCAATCAGCAGCAAGTTTTCCATGTAAATGAGTGATTAAGCTATGATTTGGCATATAATCATAAACTATAAGCCTTTCATCTCCTCCTGCATAAAATCCTCTCAGACCTAATAAATTCTTGTGTCTCACCCTACCCAGAACCTCTACTTCCACTGCAAATTCCATTTCCGCTTTTGCAGTCATCGCCTTTAACCTTTTCACTGCAATCTGCAATATTAAAACACATGATTTATTTATTTTTTCTTTTGGGGACTGTCATTAAAGCTGCCCACGACACTCGATTCAATGATGGGTTTTTAGCTAGCTATTAGGAAAGTCCAAATTCTGATGTTTAAAGAAAGATCCATCATTGATGCTTTTATAAAATTCAAGAAAAGGAAAAGAAGAAAAGATGAAGAAATTGCCTCAAAGCCTTTACGAGTTCGACCCCAATAAACACTTCCAAATCCTCCTTCGCCAATTTTGTTATCATTATGAAAGTTGTTTGTTGCATGGACAAGATCTTTGAGATTGTATATGTCCCATGGATAGTCTCTATTCTTGTTTGAACTGCAAAGAAGCAACACAAATTAATAAGACAGACGTGAAAAGAGTAAATAAAATTACGCAGATAAAGTCATCACAGAGAAATAAAAACATTTACACTATATTAGGTTGGTTTTCTGAGAAACAAAACAAACATTCGCAGAACTTTTTCATTTTCCCCATTCAACAAGATAGAAAGAATCCGCTAAGAAAATAGAGAATATGATTTGTTGGGGGTAGAGGAAGTTGGGTAGGGCTTGGGGGGAGGAACCTTGAGTAAACAAACAAGAAAATGGCAAAGATTTCGTTATAGACAATGCTAATAGGAAGGAGTTATCAGGAAAAGACAAAAAGGAGCCTTGGAAGTCAAGACCTTAGAATCAATAGCCTCACATATATATATATAGAGACACACACACGCAAGTGTTGGTACATGAACCCTAAGGCTGATGTATTGAAGTATATTTATTGAATCAATTGATCTAAGATTGTTGAAGGTCAAACAAAATTATTTATTTTAGTCTTGTATTCAAATACGCTTCCTCACTGACAAGTATTCATATTTCTGTTAAGGCTCCACCTGTTCACAATTTTTATAACACGATTTAATATGTGGATCTTCTTATGTTTTTAATACAAACCTAATCTCCTATCCCTAGTGAGCAGGATAAAAACTACACACTATTAACGAGGTAAGAAAACCTTACGTATGATTCTCGGATTTTGAGAGAACCATAAGTAATGTTTACTTATTATATCAGTAGTGGAAAGTTTCTATCTTATCCATTGAAAGTAAAAGATCAATTTCATGTTTTGATAAACAAAATAATCTAATAAAGTAATCTTTATATGCATAAATATATACAATGTAAATTATGTATTGTTTATTAACTATGATTATGCTGCAGTTGTCAATTATCAATACATTAACTCCAGGGAAAGTGACTCCTTCATTTGACCAGGTTTAGCGCCACTAAAGACAATTAATTGGACATGAATCCATCGCTAAATTGAACGGACCAGGTTGAGCTTTCGCCAACGACAAAGGACAATCGGACCTTACTCTATTCATAAATTTAAGTGGCCAAGTTTGGCCCATTAGACAGGAATTGGCTGTGACAGAATTAACAACTTCGATCGAAATATAATCGTTAATTTTAGAAGTGACTTTATTTTCATATTTTATTAGCAGTTATTGCTATTTTATTTTTCTCACAAGGAATTGTTTCCTAAAAGTACAAAGACCAAGGAGGGGGTCGTAAAGACCTTTACCTCCATTAAATAAATATGAAGGCATGTAAATTTAAAATTCTCTCTAAAAATTAAAGAGTTATTACCCAGAAGATTGGTTATGAAAATTAAAACATCAAAAAACTTCAAAAAATTGGTATCCTTAGGCAAAATGTTTAAGGGTGCCTTTGCAACAAACAATCATTAAAATGTTAAACGGAAAGAATGATCATCGATAGAATCACCGAATATACATTATGAAATCGATACTTGTTTGCAATTTTGTTAGTCCAAATTGTATTAGCTAGTTCCATTTCAAAATCATCATTATTGAGTTATAATTAAAGTTAAAGAGTTGGGGGTTGGAGGTATATGTCCTAAAGGAATCTATTTAGGTAAATATTAGAGAATCAAATCAAACCGAAAGCTTTTGTATTCGTAGTTTTCTTAAATTGAATTCGCCGCCTCACCGGAGTGCAAAAGGTTTTGATCGGTGTTCGATTCTCAGGATACAATCAATTGTCGGTTCACGCTGCACTACGTTAACCGCCTGCGAACTAACTGTGATATACTCTATCTCACAAAGAAATTATAAGTACAAGGAAGAACTTGAAAGTGAGAAAAATAAGATTGTTGCTTAGAGGAAGAAGTTTGCATTTCACTTGTGATTTTCCAACCTAGAGAGACTCCTATTTATACCAATGGAAGAAAAGCTAGCTCATTAATGAAGGAGTTAAATCATTCATTGGTAAAGGAGTTAAAAACATGAAGAGACTTGAATTACTTGAGTTACAATATATGAAAAGACTTCTATTCAATATTTTCCATTACTTCTATTTAATATTTTTCATTCAATTCTAACAATCTACACTACAACAAAGTTTATTTTTTTGGGCATATGACAAAACGCCATATAAAACAATGCTGTAAAAAGTTGTTTACTTTTTACGACTTGTAGAGTACACTGCATAAAGAACACCGTTTATTAATTTCACGGATGGAGATCTCTTTCTAGATTCATTGGAAATACCTCTACTCTATATCTCGCTTGAGGCTTCTTATTTTTAAATATTTTTTGATTTTTTTAGCAAAATAAGCTATCTACTCATCATTAATGGTATCTATCTCAATAGTGTAACGTCGCGTTCTTATTTCTTGTGATTATCTTCTCCATCTAGATTAATTGCATTAATGCTATATTTATGGCTTAATTTTAATATAATTATTTTTGTCTTGAATAATTTTGTAGTAGGATGTACCATGGACCACTTGCATGATCGATGTGCCTAATAAATTTAATAAGCAAGTGATATTACTAAATTTGAAAGTAAATTACAAATAATATTTATTATATTGTGCTTATAAATTTATGACTTGCCATTTAAGGTATATCGTAATTAAACAAATTCTAGACATTAATTTATCTTTCTAATA